CTATATATATATATATATATATATATATAACTTTATTAAGCCAAAGTTAAAAGACCCGCATGTTTATATATATAACATTATTAAGCCAAAGTTAAAAGACCCGCATGTTTATAAGAATAAAGACGGATCGCAGTATTAGAGAGATATTATATATGGAACATTAAATAGGTCAAAGAGCCCATCTTTAAGAGAGATATTTTGAATGTAATGGGATAAGAACACGACTAGTACTATGCATGGGGAAGCCTAATTACGGGGATAGATTGGGATAGATTGTGGTAAATTTATTTATTTTTATTTTTCATTTTTTTGTATTTTTTATAAGTGTGTGATGGTGAGATATTGAAGTACCACATTTATGGTTACTTAAGTATAGATGAAAAAATAAAATTAAGTAAAATATATATATAAGGTTGCAACCATTGTTTCAAAACTCAGTGAGTCCAACCGGACTCACCTGGTTCGACTCAGAAACCGGCAACCCCATGCTGGTTCCTGCAATACACGGGAAATCACCCACGTCTAGATAGAACCGAGCTATTCTGAACGGTGAATCGCTCGAGTTACTGTAGCAGGCACGGGTGACACAATAAAAGCATTTGAATCATCAAATTTTGGAGTTTTTTTATCATTTTTTTTGCTTTTACTAGTTTGATTCGAATATTACAGTATTTGCATGTTTTATTGTTCGATATATTGAAGCTTTCAGCTTCAATTTAGATCACAAATCATCGGATTTGTGAAGAACAAGAGTTTTTTTTTTAGGTTTCCGCCTTTTCATTGATTTCAAATAAAATAGGGCATTGTTTTTTATAAAATCAGAGGGTTATTAATCTTGAGAGTGTTATTGAGAAGAACTTATTCAAAATTTGCGATTATTTTGGACAATTAACTGTCAGATTTGGGTTTGAAGCCACAGTTGTAGAAAAACAGGTAAGAACCTCGATTTTTCGCCATTAAATCGATTGTATTTAAGTTTTTGCAAATAATTTGTTGATATTATAGGGTTTTGATTCCTTATAGTGTTATTTATAATAAAATGTATTCAATTAGATCTAATTTGTTCGATTTGAAGTGGATTTTCGAGTTGAAATGTCTGATGTCAGGTTGGGTGTGCGTTTTTTTTTTTTTTTTTTTTCTGTCATTTTTGAATTACAGATGAAATAGATCATTATTTTGTATGAAATAAGAGGGAGATTAGTCATGATTATGTTATTTATCATAAAATGTGTTCAATTAGATCTAATTTGTTCAATTTGAGGTGGATTTTCGAGTTCAAATGACTGATGTCAGGTTGGGTCTGTATTTTTTATGCGCTTTTTTTTTTCTTTTTTCTGTCATTCTTTGAATTACAGATGAAATAGATCACTATTTTGTATGAAATAAGAGGGAAATTAGTCATGATTGTATTATTCATCATAAATTGTACACATTTTGTGTTGATTTTGGTGGATTTGTAGTGAATTTTCGATTTTGAGTCACGATTTTGTGAAGAACATTTAGGTTTTTTTTCTTTTCAGCCAAACTACAAATATGATACGAATTAAAGTACTATTATGAATTATTTTAGGGGTTTTTTTAATGTAATACTGTAATTCAATTAATTTTGGATGTAATTACTAGAATTAACCAATTTTTATTGCTCGATTTCGGATGAAGAAGAGTTGTGGCTGCGTTTTTTTTTTTATGATCGATTTTTTTGAAAAATCATGAGTTTTTGAAAAATTGTGAAAATCATGACCAAGTTTTGATTATCATGAGGAATTAAACTGTATTTTAAATTTTTATTGTTAAATTTGTAGTGCAAAAAAGTACATATTGATAGATTATTGATGCAAAAAAATACATGTTGTTAAAATTTTAATGTAAAACTATATTTTTTTATTTTTAATGCATAAAATGTAAGTATATGGTTGATAAATATTTTATCAGTACATTATCTTGAATGACTATATCATTGTAAATATTATTTGTGGCATGTATGTATATTCTTAGTATTAACTGTATGAATATGATTATAAAAAAATCGTGGCATCTATGATAATTATATTATCATGCATTTTTCAATTGTATTATTAAATTTTTAATGCAAAAAAATGTATGTTGATACATAAATTGTATATATATTTTTGATAATTTAGTTGTAGTCATGTTTGGAGCTTGCATTTTTTATTATATTATCTTGCATTTTTGTATTTGAGATGTATGATTATTTGTGATCATTTTAATTGAGTTGGGATTGTGCCCACTATATTATTGAAAATATTATTTGTGGCATTGTGAATGACTATATCATTGTAAATATTTTTTATGCCAAATATACGTGGTGGCATTATGGATAACTATATTGTTGTAATTTTTTTTCTTGATTCTAAGTGTGGCTTATACAGACTCTTTTTATCTATAATGTTGATTCTATTTTTCTTGATTCTATTTTTTTTCCCAGTAGGAACTAAGTCATGCTTGTCAAAATTAAAATTTGTAACGAGTCCATATGTACTATACCATTGTAAATATATTTCTTATTGATACTATATCATTGTAAATTTTTTGTTCTATATGTAGTGGCCGATATAGACTATTTTTATCTATAATGTTGCATAAATAAATTATTTTTGCCAGTAGGAACTAAAATATTTTTACCAGTAGAAGTATTTTGTATTAACAATAAATATAACTTTATGAACTACCCCTACATATTATCATTACACAGTGATTATTTTTCATGTTGAATTGTCATGTTAATTTTTAACCATTTACATATTAAAACAGTTGAACCATGGCAAGATCTAAATAAGACCCTGCATGGCAACACAGGGTTAGACTTGATCCCAACAAAAAAAACAAATTTATTTATAATTACTGTAAAAAAGTGATAAGTAGTGAGGTACATTGGTTCAAGCAACACTTGGCAGGTATTAAGGGAGATGTTTCTATGTACAATAGTGTTCTTAGTAATGTAAGAAAATAAATGACAACATTTCTCAAGGCTACCAAAGGTAAAAAAACTGCAAAGCAGATGATGGATGAAGAGATGGCTGGTTTATATACGCCATCGAGCGGAAATGATCTAGAAGAGCAATATAATAATGACTTGGAGATGGCCACAAGAATGAGTTTACAGGAAACATACTATAGGGAAAGCGGGTTTAGAATGCATAGTGGTTATGACATGGGCATACATGGTGGGCCTAGCTCAAGTATGCATGGCAGGCCCAGCTCCAGCATGCATGGCGGGCCCAGCTCCAATATGCGGGCCTAGCTAAAGCATGTATGGCGGGCCCAGCTGGAATATATATGGAGGGGTTGGTGGAAATATGTATCAACAGGAACCGGATGTTGAAAAAATTGTTCTTGGCTTATCTAGGAGTATCAGTATTGTAGGTCACAGTCGTATAGACCTATTTATCTCAAAGCCTAAATCACAATAGATGATCCTCGAAGGCATGGTGAAATGTACGAGAAACATGTTAGGCATATATGTTGGTAAATGGTTCAACGATAACGGGATCCCCTTTGATGCAGCCAAGAGCCCATATTTCTCACCTATGGTCAACGTAATCCAAATAGCCAGGCCCGGGTAAAGCCCCCAACTGCATATGAGCTCAGTGGACCGATCTTGGATGAAGAGGTGGAAGAAGTTAGAAAGTAAATTGAAGAAATGTATCATCAACCAAGGGTGTTATGAGATTCAAGAAAAATGGGAAATTGAGCCCATGATTCATTGGACCTTTTGAAGTCCTGA